CAGGAATGAAGTAATAAAGCAGTCAAAACACAGAAGCTTTCAATCTGAGGCATTAGGCAACCAGTTTTATCAAGTCTCCATTTTGTAATGCTCTGGAATTGCAACTGCTTGGAGGAGGTAAAAGAGGAGGACGTGCCCGCAGGACCAGCACGGCAACAGCACCGGTGCTACTGATCCAGAAAGGAAATTTCTTCCAGTGGCTCCGCACAGTCCTACTCCACATATCGAACACAAAAAGCAACAAAGCAGCAGCCGATCAGTGCCACCGTAGATGCCGAAATCACAGTGACCGTGCTGCCAGCAACACTGACCAAGAGCCCCAGGCCCACACCGAGAATGATCTGGGCCAGCTGGACCATGCAGGTGAGAGCGGCACAGTCGATGCCCTTCCCTCGCCCATAGTCTCCAGTTTGTTCCCCATCCTGCAGCTTCAGGTTCTGCAAAAAAGCACAAAACAGCACCCGGTGAAACTAGACGGTGCCAATGCATGGCCACGACCCCAGGTGCAGCAACACAGGCCAATAGCTCTCTGCTTCCCTTCTGGTTTTCCTGCTTGTCCCACAGAGGTTATGTAAGTCAAACAGAGATTTAACAAGTGATAATGAGTTTTCCAAGCTCCCCCCAAATTGTCCCGTTTCTACCATCTGCAATTTTCCCCTCTATCCCTTATCTCAAGGAAAGAACTGAAACTTGATGTGAAAAATGAGCCATTTCCTTCAAGTTCAGGCCTATTTGAGCTCTGGCAAACTGACATTTCACAATACAGGACACCCCATCGTGGATGATTTAGCTTCCACTCTCACGGTTGAAGGAGACCCTCAAAGGGATGTTGAGTCATGCTATGTCCCCCTGCACATACAGAGCGTAATTCGTTATAATGGAGCACTGTGCTCTGAAGTTATGGCTCAAAGCACATAAAGGAGTTCAGTACTAAAATCTAGATGTAAGGCTTTTATTGCTGGGGAAGAAATAATTTGGAAAAAAACCTCCAGACTAGGATTCTTTTACACTACTGAAGACCATTATTAACCACTGATTATCTGTATATCTGCCATGATATACATAGCAGAGCAAAAGTCTTCATTAATTATATACAAGTGTCTCATACATAACCACCCTGTGAGGGTGGTTGATCACTGGAACAAATTGACCAGCGGGGTTGTGGAGTCTCCATCCTTGGAAATACTCAAACCAGACTGGACATGACCCTGGGCAACCTGCTCCTGGTGGCCCTGCTTGACAGGGGGGTTGGACTACATTATCTCTGGAGGTCCCTTCCAACTTCAGCTGTTCTGTGGTTCCCTCCAGGGAGGAACTATTCTGTTTTGCTGGGAAATTATGTGATAGTTTACACATTTATTGCTCTTCTTGTATAGGCTGTTGAACGGAGAACGTTGTATTGTAACAAACAAGAGTTTTCCATGATGTAAGCTAGATGTGCTGCTGTCTTCTGGTATCCAGACACTCTCAGCCATTAAGATGCTTTTTGCTTTTTGCAAGACCTATTACATTGCCTTTGAGCTGTTAAAGCTCAGAAGTACGGGAGGCAAACAGTCTCTTACTAATCCAGTAAACAAAATTGAATTTGGATCCTAGGGAAGAGCAGCACGGAACAGGAGTTGAAATGGCAAAATTTTAAAACCCAGCACATGATTTTGGTAGAATGCATAGTGAGGGAAAATGTCTGCCCTTTGTTCTGGAATGAAAACAGTCCTCTCACCTGAAGTATTTCCAATTTTAGACACAATTTTTTTGGAATGATATCTATTTTGCTGGGCTGTGCCCAGTGTTCTTATGTGCCCGTAGTTCTGACCACAATTATATGACTGTTTGAATGAATGCAATCTTGCACTCGATGTTTCCTCTTTATTTTTTCGAGCTTGTACATTTGAGCTAAACCTAATTCTGTTAATAACAGATCTAACATAGAATTATGCATCATTTAACAGCTGGCATAGCAAGTACCATACACCAAACAAGAAACAATCCGTTCTTACAAGTAACATTCAAATATATTAGCCTATTAAATATAAAGTCCATGCACTCTTCAGCAAATTTTATTTCACTTTTGTCTTGTAACAGCTCTGAATCAGAGCTAGACTACAATTTTGCCTTTACTCCCTCTCTCTGAGTTGGCTGGCCCAAGGTTAGGATTGTGATCTCACCCTAAAATGGGTTCATCTCCTGTCCTTTGTTATACCTTCCTAAAACTAGATAACGTGATCATTCTCTGTTGGAAGGAACAGAGAAATTAACTGAAGAATTAGGAATCAGATCTATGAAATATTTAACCACATTGAGAGATCCTCCTAGGATTCAAAAGAATAATTAAGAGTTTTCTTGTGTTCTTCATTCAGGTGGAGATGCTTAGAAGTTGTACAGAACAGTAGGGCATGTTCTCAAGGACTCGATCTAGCCCTGTGCTGGTCTCAACTATGTTTCTATGTTGTTTTTTCAATAGTTCAACATTTCCTTTATTAATTTCTTCAAATGTCCCCAGATACAATGAGAACTTTTCCTAAGTCCTCTCAACTCCCCTCAATCTTCTTTGTTTCCAGTTCTCTCGCTAACTCAGAGACCTGAGAGAACTTTTCCATTAAAGAGCTCAACACTTCGCAAGACATAAAGATCCTGCTGTGCCCCGTAACATGATATAAGGAATGCAAGTTTTTCCAGATTTTCCTTGGAAACAGGACTGCATGCCGTGGAGGACCAAAAACCAACACCAGACATTTAGAGAGAGAATGAGAATGTGGTATATAATTTAATACTGAACTATATAAAACTGTACTTGAATTTCATATCTTTATTAGCTAACAGCTTTTGTAACACTTTGCAGTTAAGTAAAAATTCTGCCAGCCCTTACCGTGTGCTTATGAACATTAGGAACTCAGAAGTCAAGCCCTCAGCTAATACAGCTGGAAAGAAGGACATAAGGAAGGCAGCACCTGAAGGCAACACAAGCGGAGCCCTATTATCTGCTTACTGCCTGAACACGTACTGTGATTGGCTTTGTTTCAGCTGTGATAATAAATAAGTAATTGTCTCACTGCAGGATTGTCTGGAGAGTTTGGAGCTGGGACTTTAACTCTCTTTGTCAGAAACTTTCCATTCATTACGTGTCATCATAAATAGTTTGAAATTAAAATTAAAAGATGCTCACCAGTTCTATACAGTCTTCTCCCAAATTAGACTAAACAGACCCAGATGGATATAAACTTACCCTTCCTTAGACATTGAACTCACCTCTTCTTCCCTGTGATATTCTGCAATGAGGTGGAATGGCACTGTGTACAGCGTGCTGGACATGACACCAAAGAGGGAACACAGAGCCAGAGTGGAATAGACATTGGGAAACAAGCCAATTAATCCAGTACCCAATCCAAAAAGTAGGTATCCAATGAAATAAAGTCCCTTTAATCCTATGTATGGCAGAAGGATTTTCTGCAGGTCTGTGAAAAGAAAGTGAAAATGCTGATAATACTAAAACGGGTCACATTTCATCAGAGAGTTCCTTTAAGGGGTTTTATTCTGTAAAACGCAATGAAGAAAATAATCTTACTGATTTTGGAAATTGCCTCATATTATCGTAGATATAAACTTGCCAAAGAATACCTGCTCTCTCTGGAGATAGTCTGATTCTGGGGTAGCCAACTCCAGAGAAGAAGCAGTTAACAACCATTCTGGAAGAACTGCCCTCATTGACAACGTCAGACATTTCCGCAGTTTGATTATAATGTGAATATTTTGGCATCAACCTCTGTCTGGGCTGAGAAAGGCGCTGCAAAAATGCCTGTAGTTAAGCTCCAAAGGGGAAAAGGTTTCCCTCAAGCCTCTTTTAGATGCTCAGTTCAGCCCCCAAAATGCTACTCATTTGAGTTTTTGGATCGCAAGGAGTTTCTTATAAACCTTGGTAAGAGCTATGGTGAAATCTATCTGGGGAACTCTGCTAGCATATTTACACATCATTTTGGAGAGCAAGACTCGTGCTTCTGGCAAGAACTTCTGCTGCATTGTGAAAGAGTTATTTTATGAGGAATGCAGACGGGGAGAGGCCATCAGAGGGATCTTCAAGAACTTACAGCTACAGCACTGCTAGGTGAAAAAGCATCTCAGAGTCATGCCCATGGCATCCATTTTAGTCTGGCATTTATCTTCAGGATGATTTTCAGCGTTCAGGGTCAGTTCACATGCAGAACAATGCCTTACTCCCAAAGTGACCCCTCATCATGTGGTCAGGAACTGTTCATGTTAAGATACGAGTTTCTAACAATGCTGAGAATATAACATTTCTTGAAGTTTTAATGTGGAAAAAACCCAGCTGATTTGGCATCGCTTCATTTTTTTAAACAATGGCAAGTAGAGAACAGCTTAAACACTGTTTCAAAACACAGTGCTGGAGTACAGTCCTGGGTACTTACAAGAATAGACTGACGAAGAAATTGCATTGATGCACAGCCCCCAGCACCCCATCTCTACTCCTGTTTTGTAGGTAAGGTATAGCGTGGAGTTATGAGGTGCATAAGGACTACCCTGGTATACAACCTGAAAGAGACCACAAAGATCACAGAAGGCAAGGACGGACTGCATGTATATATCTCCTTCCTATGGGAACATGGGACCCAACACAGGGCCTCACCTTTGGTGAGGGAGATAATTAGCACCCAAGAAATCTGTTAATCAGTGCCCTAACCACCCCTTCACAGTTGTCCAGGTTTCACACTTATTTCTCCCAGATTCTCACATCCCAGGCTCCTCCTCATTTATTACCCTCCACCTTTTCCTGTACACCCTACACCGACTCATTTGCGCTTTTTCCTTTGTGTGTCTTATTTCCCACTCTCCTTCTCTCTCCACTTCCGCCTTCTTGCCTTATTTTTTAATTTATCTACAATTAATTTTTTTGTTTTCTCTTTCAGGCTTACCCCAACACACTCATTTTTCCACCTAATAATTGCCTTATTCAGTTCCTGATCTAGGAAAGCAAAACTTTCTCTTTCAGTTGTTCATCTACACTGCAGGAGAAGAAACCTCCCTCTCACCTACAGAAACAAACAAAAAAAGGCAATGAAATGGGAATACTGGGTGGAAACCACAGAGAAAAGGAAGTGGCAATGAAAGGATTTGTGCCAAGAGCGTATTTGTGCCCTGGAAGAAAGGAGGCAGGCAGGATCGCGTAGGCAAGAATGGCTGGCAGGGACATGCATTCTTACTGCCTGGGAATGGCGTGGAAAAGGGAGCACTGGGAGTCACGGAGCAAACGGTCGCTGGCCGAGGGGACTCAGGGAAAGGCTTACAGCGGTGTGGCAGGGACAGCCGAATTCAGGAGACAAGAGCTTTCAGCGAGCAGGTAGCTGCCTGCGCGCAGGGAC